AAGTGAGCCGGTCGGATAAGTCACTAGCACATCCCCCACTCCCCCCGTTGACAATTTACTAGTGGTACCGAAGTGGGCCGGTCGAGAGTCCCGGGCTGATTTTTAGTCCCAGTCCACCACTGGCTACATGACCGTATGATCGCCCATATTGACGCACCTAATTCCTAAACTTCTAACAGATACAAAATAAACCGATCCTTCAGCCTCATATGAGCTCTCAGACACGTTCAAAATTAAACTGTCATCGCTGTCTGAGCTTGCTGCTGTGTGCCCCATCGTGCGTTTACATGCAGATGCTGGGATCCTGAACTGTGCAGCTGGAGCGCTGTGCCCGCATTGACGTCACCCATAATTTGGCGGGACTTGAAGAATCCCCGAGAAGATCCAGGAAATGGTCAACTTTGAAGGGCAGATTAATGGTTATCAAAGTACAACTATCCAAAATCAGTTCAGTAACGGTTTTCAAGGGGACAATATTTACTCAAATTGATGGGTTTGGATGATGGGGGAAAATCGTGTCACAGGCTCTTTAAATTTATGTAGATTTTTTAGGATGACAAATAGATTTAGCTTCTGCCCCTTGCAGTACATTACTGATCCTCCTGCTGCTACTCCTGTCTGCTTCTACAAAGTGGGGGTGTGCTGACCACGATCTTGTTGGTATACACTGACCTTTGATAAATGCCTCACACAAACTCTTTCCAAAATATACGGTTTAATTCTGCAACAAAAAAGAAAATCCACATCATTAAAATGTTATTAAATAAGGAACAGCTAACCTGGCATCTAGTCTAACATCTGCCAATCAGCATCGCAAATCACTAATTGGCTAGTCTCAGTTAACATATTATTTTAATCAAGAAATGTCATTTAATGAAGGGTTGTATGCAGAATTATTTCTGCCAGGTCGCAGTTAATTGTCACTATCCTAAATGAATAGCAATATCATGGTGACGTGCCTCCAGTATGTCTCAGCACCTCACACATTGTTGGTTTTACACCTCAGTGTCTGTATAGATTTGACAAACAAGGTAAATGTGTTAGTGAGCTTTACACAGGGCATTGGTAGATCAATTCCATTTGGTGTTCATGCTAACTCAGCTAACCGGCCGTAGCTTTACTCAGCTAACTGGCCGTAGCTTTACTCAGCTAACTGGCTGAAGCTTTACTCAGCTAACTGGCTGTAGCTTTACTCAGCTAACTGGCTGTAGCTTTACTCAGCTAACTGGCTGTAGCTTTACTCAGCTAACTGGCTGTAGCTTTACTCAGCTAACTAGCTTTACTCAGCTAACTAGCTATACTTAGTTAACTAGTTGTGAAGATTTCCCCATCCATCAATAAGAATGTGAAAACGTTTATTTCCTAAAAATGCTGAACTTTTCCTTTAATCCTGACTCTCACATAATAACTACACAGGAATGAAGGAACTTGGAAGGCTTCAGCACAGTACAACCTCTCAACTATATTACCATGTACCCACTCTTTAAAAAAAAAAGACCACAATGGTAGTTAAATATTGACTGACAGACAGTTTTTTGTTTACCAGGATTTCGTGTTGAAGCTGTGTTGGTAAGGTCTAAGAATCTAAGCAGACTAACCATGTAAAAACTCTTTAATGTCAACAGATTTTTTCACAGCACAATTTGGATTGGTCAGTGGGAAAAAAGTGCATTCAATACCAATAACAATGGCTGAACTCCACCAAGGAAAGCTCAAAGCTGGATCAGTGGAGCTTACTACTTTATGTCATCAATATTAACAATTTCCTTAGAGTCAAATTTAGACAGTTACCCCTGAGTCAGCTGATTGATGTTTGAAACTGGGCATTAGGCAACTTTATATTTGATATGCTAGCAGCGTTAGCACTTGCATACAAAATAAATAATGTGAACAGTTTTTTCCACGTTTGATGAGACACCCACGCCTTTTAAAGCAGAGTGGTCACCTAGGAAGCTGCGACTACGTAAACGTGTCTTCAGAATCTTCACTGAAACTCAGGCAAATCCAGGTGTGTGTAGCCCTTTCCATTCAACATGTGCTTTTCCTACTATGACATCTAGAAATGCTTGTTTTAAACAAAAATAAATGTGGGATTTTTTTACGACTGGTTGTGTTGTATGGTCTTTAACAGATCGGAATTATTTAACCCCCCCCCCATACTGCAGGCTTTGCATTTCCATCAAATTATGTCTGTCATTTGTTTTGACAACCTTTACCAGACTTGACCCAAATGTTCAGGAAAAGTTAGACCATTATCGGCAGAGCTTGCTGTTTAAAAAGAGAAAAAGAGATGCATTAATATCAACAGTTCAGAACAAGACACAGTAAATATTTGTAACTCATAAACATAATGAAAATATGATTTATTTGTCCAACATCAAGGCCATTTGCCTCAAACAATAGGTATTCAAAGTTATATACACATTTACATTTGTTACACAAAAAACTGCCATTTCACCACTTAATCAGATAACTTTGGAAGTATTTAAACAATACATTCCAATATGTCAATAAACAGGACATGATAATGAGACCATTAAGCCTCTACTAGGAACTCTGAGTAATGGAGCAGTTGTAGTACAGCATACAAAAATGCTGCATGAAGTACAGATGTTGTGAAGGATTGATCACGTATACCATTTGTTACCAATACTACCTTTAAAAAAAAAAATACCAGGCCACGTTGGCAGCAGCGATTCCAGCCTCGTCACCTTCCACCAGCAGAATCCACTTTAGCATAAAGAAAAATAGGTGGCGCTAAATGAAAGCATTCTTTTGTACATTGGTGCTGATTCACAAAGAGATCAATTCTTATGAACAAGGATAACAGTCTTATCTTTGTCAGCATGTTTCAACTTGAGAACTGATTCAAGATCACTCTTTGTGGAGCTTCACCTTCATCTTAACATTTACATTAAGAATTCTTTAATTCAACTCTTACTTAGATATTAACTGAAATCAAATCATTTTCAATATCAAACTGTTAACATAAGAGTATAAAAAGAACTCAAAATCTACTAACTAGGAACAAGAAGTACAAACAGAAGTAGTGGGGTCTCTGCCTCGAGCCTGTGAAAAAAACATTTCTTGTCTGATCCTTACCATGGAGCCAAGCAGGTAAAGGTGTTCAGAAAGCCACTCATCCCGCATGGAGGATCAACCAATACCTAGAAGAAACTGTCAACAAGGTTTAGCAGTAACGTGTTTTCAATCCATCATTACACAGAAACACATGCACATTCAGCAGTTCTTAGGTAATCTTAACTTATTCAACAGTGTTCATCCACCCTCAAGGGGTTCAGTACAGAGCAAGTTCAGTCTCAAAATCTGAAAACAGAGGTAAGTACTTGACCCTACATTTTGAGTGTTGCGCTTGCACTCTCGGCACACTTGGTGCAGAACTCCACAGAGACGTGGTTCTTGTCCACGTGCAGACACACACCGCCAGATGTCTCTTTCTCCTCCACTATCACGCGCTTCCTCGGTAAAGCGTAGTCGTGGTCGTTCGAGTCAGGCCCCTGGAAAAGCGAGGAAGATAATTTCATCCCATTCACACCGCTCAGTCTGGACAAGAGCTGGGCTAACATGCTCTCATTGGCCAGCACAGCTCTTAGGTACCTGGTCTCGTCTTCCAACTCTTCCACCCTCTTGGTCAGCTGAGAATTCTCCTGTTTGAGCACGTTGTTTTCTGTCGACAGGACGCCGACTTTCTTCTCCAAGCTGTTGACATACTCTTTCTTCCTGAGACGATTCAATCTGGCAGCGATGGCGTTTTTGTTGATCATGCGACTCGACTGGTTTTGCCTGTTCTTATTCTTCAAGTTAGATGCTGATCTCTCTGGGGACGAAGACGTTGAGGCTTCAACTTCAGAATCCTGGTCTTTGACACTGCACATATCAAGATCTGCCAACTCAATATCAAAGAGAGAGGAGACGGTGTCTCTTTCAAGTGTCCATTTTAAGTCTTCAATTCCAAATAGGTCGTTTAGCTCTATTCCTGTGGCGTCAATATCTCCAGCTGGGAACCCTTCAGATGGACTTGGGAGATCTTCGACAGTTTCCATCACATCTCCCACTTGGACCTCCAGAGGCTGGCTCTCCGTGCTGTTCATGGTGCGTCCTCTTCTTCTGGTGATCATTGTGGCTTGTCAGTGAGTCAGCAAGGAGTCTGTCAAGAAGATGTCTAGCGGTTCCTCACCTGGGGGGGATAAATTAAATGTACTGTTAGGGTGAGAACTTTCAGCAATTAAAGGATTAGTTTATCAAGGCAATGTATCATGTTGATATCAATTTAATAACTGGAGCAAAGTCGAGTAAATATTTGATAACAATTTCAAACATATATCAAATACTTAGCACAAAGCTATATATTTTCACTGTGGTATTTGGACAAATCTCATTGAATCGTGTGGTTTAAGTAATAACTGTGATCCACTTTGAGGATTATTTAGTCGACAATCTTTAAAAGAAGGATCTGCTGAATTGATAAACATGAACGCTTACGGCCCGTCCACACAGCGGCGTGCGTTGAAGCTTCAACCCATTCACTTTGAATGGGGTGACGTCACGCTTCGCCGAACTGCATTGTGGGGAGCGTAGCTACGCGTTGCTCACGTCAAAAGTTGAACCATATTCAACTTTTGAAACTTCGACGGAAGCGTCAGCCAATCAAATCCCGTTTATGAAAATCTGCCAGCCAATCAAACCGCGTGTATGCTGCGAGTAGTGAATCACCCGGTGCTGTATGATCACATCAGTCTCTGTTCATCTACCGCAGGGGTGGGGAACCTTTTTCCTCTCAAGGGCCATTTCAATTTTTTCAACATCCTCCGAGGGCCGTACAAATTATTGACCTCTGCTTAAAAGTACTACAATCACAGCCCATTCATTTCGCCTTTCTTTCATGCTGTGCAAAGAAAAAGCAACCTCTTAATCCACAAGATGTATGCAAATGTATTTAGTTTCCTATCCATAAGATTTTTTTTTTTAAATGTTGAAGTTAAAAGCATCTATCTGTTGCACTTTGAGAGCAACATTAAGAGATCTATGGATACATCTCTCAACACCCATATCTCTCAACACCCATATCACATGAGACAGCTGTAAGCAGATTTTCTTTTTCTTTATGGATATTTTACAAATCACTCCCCTTTCAAACTGTATTCTTGTTTATTAATAACAACTTTTTTTTACTGTCATA